TTTTGCAGCGCCGCTTGCAAAAGCCCGGGGCGGCAGCGACGCGAGCTTGCGCGCGAGGCCGCGTCCCGGATCCCCCGGCCCGGACCCTCGGCGCGCGCTGCGATTGGCCGTCGCCCCAGGCTGATTTGCATACGCCTCCGCCCACCCCAACACCCCGCCCACGAGGGGGTGGGAGGGCCCGCGCGGGTCATGTGACTGGTCTCCTCCGACGGCACCGCCCACAATCTCTGGCGCAACGCCGCGGGCGCCGGCACCTCTTCCTGGAAGTGCCCAAGGCCCCGGACCCCACCGCGCTCCAGCTGCCGGCGCCTCCCGTCTCTGCAGCTGCTCCGATGGCCTTGCTCCCGGACTTCGGACTCCTTGCTCGGGACGCCTGAGGTCACCTCTGGGCACTTCCTGTGGTCCGTTTCCCTGTTGAAACAAGGTAGCTCAAGGTCTGCAGGAAAAAAGCAGGCTGAGATCTAGAGTTCATTCATTCGGTATTTATTGAGCACCTACTTGGTGCCAGCACTTCCTGCCCTCGTGGAGCTTATATTCTAGTGGGATAGACACAAACACCAAGGAGTAAATCATAATGATTTAGAGGTGATAAATATATAGAAAAAATAAAGCAGGGTAAAGGGACTGGGCTGAGCTGCAATTTTAATTTTAGAATGCTCTAGGCAGGGATTTTTAGTCTGTTTTGTCCAGTTCGTTCACTTACAGTTCACTGTCTGACACAAAGTAGGCCGGCCAACACCCGATAACACACTCATTCAGCAAGTGTTTATTGAACACCTAGTAAATGTTAGGCTGAGAGAGTCCAGGAAAATGGTAACTTTAATGGAATCATATTTCTCATGTACAAAGGGGCACATATCAGACTTAGTCACACTTGAGCTGAGACCTGAACCAACAATACAAAGAGTCAGGGACCTGCTTTCCAACGGGCTAGGGACAGCAGGTGCAAAGACCCTGAAGCAGCAATCTCTGGCTGTTGGATCATTAGGAGGCCAATTTCACCGCAGAATAGTGGAGGGCAGAGGTGAGATGGGGGTATAGTACTGGGCTAAGAACTGTCCCCTAGGATATCAGCTCCAGGACTGGGCCCTTCACTGTTGAACTCTACCCCCAGCATCTAGAATATCTCTTGGTGCATACGCTGTGCTCAGTAAATATTTGTTGAATGGATAAGTGTGGGAGAGACAGGAATGAGTGAAGCTCATAATCAGCCCATAGTCCAAGTTACAAGCGTGAGGCATTCGGGGTCAGCTATGTGAAATATAACTCGTCACCACTAGAGAGCGCCACCTCCACTCACCCACATTATGGGATAAAACTGAAGGTCCCTGCCTCCCCCCAAAGTTTCTAGGATTCCCCCAGAGGCCTTTTTCTGTTTTTATGAACACTAGGGTAGAACACCAGGAATTTGAAATCTCACCCCACTGGACTTGCTTCTTTGTTCGTCTTTGTACTTGCCATCTGTGTCTCAGCTCAAATATCACCTCCAAAGAGAGACCTTCCCCATTTCATGTTCAATCACCTCACCTTATTTTATTTCCTTTATAGCTCTGATCATTACAGTATCCGAAATCACTTAGTTTATTTAATTGACCTGTTTGTCCGTGCCTCCCGCAACACCCCCACAGATGAACATCCTGAGAGCAAAGTTTGTAATTTTAAATCATTTTGCTATCACTCCAGGGCCTCTCACGGGGTCTGACACACCGGAGACTCCCAAAAGAAAATATCCAATGAGTAAAATAATGAAATGTCTCTGGTTCTGTAAAAACCGCAGTTTAGAATTGGGTTCACACATTTGGAGGCCGATGGGGCCTGAGGGAGGCCAGCAGGACTGCAAGGGGAAGCGGCTAGAAGCTGGGAGGAGAGATTTGCTGATTAAGGAGAACAAAAGGATGGGGGGGGGCAACTCAGCAGGAGGCTTCGGGGGTAATGGGCCAGGTTTCCTTTTTCCTGTTCCTATATCATGCCCCTCCCACTCTCTGGGGTTTGAATCCCACCTTATGCACAGACCAAAAAGAAAAAATTCTGTCCAGACTTGGGGAGATATCTGAGCAACCCCCATTTCCCACACTGGAGTCCTAGAGTCCTGAAGAGCGTACGCTTAGGACCTTCTCCCCACCCTCATTGGAGCCACCTAGAACTGTGAGATGCACCCCAACCCCATCCCAAACGCTGACTTAACAGAAGGAGAAACTGAGGCCCCAGAGAGAAAGCACCTTGCGAAAGGACACCAAACACGCCAGTGGAGAAGACTCAGAATTGGAACCCAGGCGTCCCACCTCCGTGGGGCCTCCAGGTTCCTACGTGCTTGCTCTCCCTAGTGTCCAAGGAGGTGTGTGCTCTCAGCCTTTTGGGGTTCCCAACTGAAGACAAGCAATTTTTCAATTAACTCTGCACATGAGAGTATAAAGGTCCACTCGAAAGGGTTGTCTCAACCCTCTCTGCTCTGAGGCTTGAAATCCCCAAATTAATAGTAATAAGAACCACCATTTGAGCTCATGCCTTTACAGAACAGTGCATGAATACCTCTGATGATGGGAAGCTCACTCCTTCCTGAAGCCATGCATTTCTGTATTTTTTCCCCTAACAGTTCAAAAGTTTTCCTTCTATGGAGCTGGTATTAGCCTCCTGATGACTCCCTCTGTCACACAGAATGTGCGACATCCCTCAGCTGCCCTGCCCTGGTGCCAATTCCACAAAACATCTGGGAGACGGCTTTAGTGAGTGATCCAGAAGACTTTCACAGTCCAAAAACTGGATGAAGGATGCTAGAAACAGATATGGTCAGGGGATAGGTTGCAAAATTCAGAATTAGAGGTTGTGTTGATCTCAAAATGATTCTCTGGACTTGGAGCTCAGAGATCATGTCCATGGGAACCCCTGTCTGCCTCCCTGCAACCCAACTCCTGGGCTCGTAGGGCTTACTGTCCCCCCTGGTTAGAGGCCATTGCTGGGTCTTTGGCTTTGTGCCTGTGCCTTTTATGGTTAGTACATTTCATGTGCTGGCTAAGAAATCTTTGTCAGCCCCAAGGTCATGAAGGTATTCACCTGTGTTTTATAACTTTAAAAGATAGATTTTAAAAGAGCTTAAGTGCCTTTGCTTATATGTTCAGGTACCTGATCCATTTCAAACTATTTTTGAATGAAATAGGTTTCTCCATTGACATGCATGGACTTTTTTTTTTTTTTTTTGGTAAAAAATCAAGCGACTATAGATGAGGGCCTGTTTCTAGACTCTCTGTTCTGTTGCTCTATTTGTATATTCTTCTGTCAATATACACTGTCTTGATTACTCTAGTTTTAAAATAAGCCTCGAAGCCATGTAGATTAAGTCTTTCAACTGTGTTCTTTTTCCAACTGGTTTGGCTCTATGAGGTACTTTACATCTCTCTATATCTTGGAGTAAAATATTGGGGTAAATTTTGTCAATATATACATGATTTGGGAATCGTTGCATTTCTTAAGGGGCAGGTGTCAGCAGAGTTAAATCTCCTGGAAGATCTAATCTTCCATTAGCAAAACAGGACCAACTAGGTCACACTGAAGAGACGGAGCACCCGAGATTGAGGAAGACTGTTATGGGTTGAATTGTGTCCCCCAAAAGATATGTTGGAGTCCTGATGCCCAGTACCTCAGAATACGATCTTGTTTGGAGACAGGGTGTTTATAGAGGTAACAAAGTTAAAGTGAGGTCATTACAGTGAATCCTAATCCAGTACAACTAGTATACTTATAAAAGGGGGAAATTTGGACACACTGATGTGACCAAAGAGAGGAGGACGTGAAGGGACACAGGGAGAAGAGGACCACATTACAAGCCAAGGGATGCCCGAGGCTACCGGAAGCCAGGAGCGAGGCCTGCAATATATTTTTCCATAGAACCTTCAGAGGGAGTATGGCCCTGCTGATACCTTGATTTCAGACTTCTGGCCTCCAGAATTGTTAGACAATAAATTTATAGCGTTCCAGGCCACCCGGTTTGTGGTACTTTGTCACAGGAGCCCTAGGAAACTAACATAAGTACTCCGGAGTGATTGGAGGTAAGGTCTTCAGGCAGACAAGGAAGTTGAGGCCTGGATTTATCAGGGGACTGCAAGTATGTTCAAGATGACAACAGGGATTAGAAAAGGGCACAGACTTTGGAGCTAGGCCCACCTCGATTCGAATCCCAGCTTTGTCAATGGATAACTGTGCCACTTTGGGCAAGCAACCCAACCTCTTTGAGCCCCACCTGTCAAATGGGAATAGTGACGGGACCGGGCAGAAAGGGTTATTATATTATGAGTGTTTCACGCAAGAACATTTGTCTGGGAATGAGCACAGTGCTCAATAAATGGCGGTTACTATTTTCCCTCTTGTGGGATGTTCTGTGCTCAATGAAAGGGGATTGTCTCATTCCAAATCTAATGAATTGGCTAATCCGTGAGTATTTACGAAGGCAGAGGATCAGTGAGAATCCAACTAGGAAGAACAGAAGAGAGGAATTTATAGAAAGAATTGCTTCATAGGTAACAGAAGAACTATGGAAAAAGGCATATGGGAGGGTGAGTCACAGATCAGCCAGGACAGGAGGACCAGTTCCCCCTCGGGTAGGAGGGACAGGAGGAGGAGGTGGTGTTTCTGGTACCCAGGAGGGACTGGAGTCACCAGCTAGAAACCGGACCCCAGTGGGCCTGCCCGGTCAGAAGAGAGACACAGAAAATGCAGCTGCTGCTGGAGATATTACCCGAGGCACAGAGAGGGAAGAATGCCCTAGCCTCTCCCTTTCCACCCTCCAGGCTCCCGTCCCTGCCTCCCAATGCTCAGTCTATGCAGGAAGCCAGTTGATGGGCAGCCTGCAGGGACTGTCTTCCTGGTGA